TTAAAAAAAAAAACCAACTTGGGGACCGCGGTAGCCGAGTGGTTAGCATGAGAGACTCTCACGCCGCGGTCGTGGGTTCGATTCCCACCGTCGCCTCTGGCCCTTTTTTCCCGATAACCCCCAATTTGAACACACAAGAATTCGTACTATGGCTAATATGCAAGATCATAAGGCCAATAAAAAAAATAATAATAAAAAAAACCAACTTAACAGACGGTCTAATGACCATTGTCTTTTGTAAATTTAAATGTAAAAACGAAAATGTATAAAGTTCAATAAATTTACTTCTTTATTATTATATAGACTTTTATTGGTAAATTTTGAAACATTGGACAAAAACTAAGAATTAATGGAGCTCTTGATGTATGAGGTGGTTTATAGTACATTTTTTATTCCAGGTTCAATCAGGATACTATTTATTAACCTAACAGAGATGTATATTGATGGTTCTTAGCCAAAAATAGAACATGATAATTTTTATTTTCATCGTGTCGTGTAGGTTGTAAAGTCTAGTGAATCTTCATTTCTCCTCCAATTTGTTTTAGTTTTTTTTTATACCATCTAAACGTACATTTGTTCAATTGTGAAACGATACAACAGCCATCGGTCCGTTGGTACAACTTCGAAGGAAGGAAATTTGTAAGGGAAGCGGCGGAGGAATCACGGTGGATGAGCAGGGAACGACGTTGCTCTCATCCTTTTGAAACCACCTGCACCTCTGGCGATAGATACCGGTCGACTCTGCTTTCCGTCGTCTCACGGTCATTATACACAATTCGATAATATTGCTCAGACCCATCTGTTCTATGAGTTTTTTTTATTGGTGAAGTATCTCATGAAGCACTTCTAATCTGAACTTTGTTTTTATTGGCATGCAGGTTTACGAGGAAGAAATTATGTCCTTTCACTCTTTGTTGTATATTTCTTTTGTTAATGAACAAACCTGATTTTATAAACTTTTTTAATTACTTATGCTTTCAAAAAAAAAATTTTTTTGGTCATTATACTATTTAAATACAAAATTTAGGCCATTTGATCATAAGATACCGTATAATCCTTATAATATATCCCAAGAAATATAATCTGAGGTAGAAAATGAACAATGATTTGACCTATAAAGAAATTGGATTGAGTAATTTATTATTACAATTAAACCTGGTTGTTTGGTACTGTTGCATAAGATTGGGAATCTCGTCAACAGATCCTGTCACCTTGGAAGAAGGATAATCGCGTGGGATTCCAAGCTCTTTTGTTTCTGTTATCATTTCTCTGCCCCTCTTAACATTTTCCAATTGGACTTTATTCTCGGCAGGAAATTGGCCAACCGTACGCGCAACAGGACGTTGCAGAAGGCAGTGGCGTTTTATTTATCAAATACCACGAGGGCTCTGTTTTATTGGGGGTGTTTAAAGGACAGGGACAACTTTATCCTGACTAATGACGGTTTTATTCCTGCGGTGAAACTGAAGTTGATTCCTTGATAAAAACAAGAGCCCAACCTTTTGAATATTTTGGCTGATAAATCTGTTAAATGGTGAACTGCTGAGGTTACTCCAAACAAAAAACTACTTTCTGAAACGGATTTTAAAGTTAATTACTTCTGAAACTTCAAGAAACATTAAAATATCAGGCTTCCAGCTGGTCAGAATGATGTTCATTCATTAGTCGTAATATCACTCCTGTCTCTGCCATCGGTAATAGATTCACCAAGTCCAAAATTTAGCTATCGACTGTTCAATTTAAATAAAAATATTTTGGTGACCGTTAATTAATGATTATTTAGATAACGTGAGATGCGGTCTGGTGTGATTTAGGTATAGAAAAACATTTTCGTTGTCGTGCCAACGTTTCGATCTTTATTGAGATCATCTTCTGGGCTCAAAGTGCGTGTTTTGTAGGTCGTGGTGAGATTGTTAATGACGAGAGATTAACACTCTCAACACATCAGACAAGAATGACACATCTACACAGAAATCACACTTTGAGCCCTGAAGATGATCTTAATAAATTTCGAAACGTTGGCACGATAAAGAAAATGTTTTATCTATACCTAAATCACACCAGACCGCATCTCACGATCTCTAAATAACAATTAAAAATAAATCAGAGTTGATTTATTTTATATAAACTTTGAGTCGATGTTTAATTGTCCAGGAAGGCTTCAAGAAAATACCTTCTTTCCATCCTTTGGTCGTCAGTCCCGTTAATTTTTCTACTATAAAATCAAAGCAGTATGACATTTCCTGAAGTAACCTATTCTAGTTTTACGTCCATTATCATTAATCATTTATATCAACAATACCCTAGGTAAACTTGAATGTATGATCATCATAAAGCCCCTTAAATCTCGGTCAGGATCGTTTCTTCTCAACGCCAGCTACAGTTATTCTCATTCATTTATACTTTCATTAAGAAGTAATGGACCGACGTTTCCATAAACATTTTTTGAAAGGCCAATGCATGAATCGTTCATTTTTTGGCAAACAATCTGATTAAGGGTCTTGCATTAGAAATACTATAAAATTTATAATTTGTTCTGCCTTTGCTTTCGAAGTATTCAAAAGGACAATTTTGTTTTCTGAGTTGAGACATTTCCTAAGTAAATGAGTAAAAAGTCCCTTTTAAATGTAAAGTAAGTCGTCTGTCTACCAACAAGTGATCAATTAATACCTTGTAGAATTGATTAGTTCCCAGTGTGTTGTGACTGATTAGATTAGTCAGGCAAAACTGCTTATTCATTCGTCGCTTTTGAAAGTTAGTCATACTTCTGTGATTGCTCATGGCAGAACAGAAATTTTATTTCTACATATGATTTATTTATTATCGCATCACATTATTTTTCTTTTGGGGGAAATGTTATACGAAAATCTCCAGGGATCGTGGCTTAATTATGAGAATGCGTTCTTTACTCTCCGGTGTACCTGTAGTTCAAATAATAAGTACCTTTGCGCTAAACTAGGCTCGCATTGGTTCAAAAATTTAATAGTTACATCTCTGATGTAGTACAGCACCATTAAAATATTTGCCTCTGAGCAATGTGTATGTATATCTGGGGAGTCTATCGCAAGGCTAATAACACTTCTGTACAGCCTGCAGCTTGGCGATGTTATTCATGCTTGTGACACTCGAGGTGGCAGAGAAGAGTTTGTACGGTAGAAGTTCAATTGCCGGTGACAGACTGGAATGACAACATAATAGAGGGTAAAATACGAGAATAGCCGTTGTTCACTTGATCATTGTGCCATTAATGTGTGTGGTAGAACACTTATGGAAAATAAAATCTAGGGAAAAGATATTAGAATCTTTTCTGACAGTCAGGCTAGTCTTAGGTCATTACAAAAAGATTTATCAACATCTAGACTGGTGGAGGAAACTGTAGATCGTATCAATAGAATCTCTTCCAGGTTTGAGAGCAAGGTAACCTTTATTTGGATACCAGCACGTAAAGGACACTATGGCAACGAAGAGGCGGATAGCCTGGCCAAAGAAGACTCTTCGGGCCACCACCGGTATTACCTCACTCTATGAACACAGCGAAAAAGAGTATTAAAAACTGGGGTATGAAACCTCAGGGTCCTTAAGGAAGGGAATCTATCCCCCGGACATAGGCAATCGAAGGAGTTTGTTAAGGAGATCAAACCAGCAGAATATAAATGGCTATTCTCTAACTCAAGGGAATTAGGAGGCTGATCGGTATCCTGACGGGCCACTTCCCACTGAGAAGTCACCTCTCCGTAATGGGTATTCTACCAAACCCCTTTTTCCGTTTTTGCGAAATAAAAGAAGAAACGGCAAGGCACTACCTCGCTGAGTGTGATAGGTATGCTAGGTCTAGATTTGAAATCTTTGAAGGAGAGGACATCACCAAATCACTCCCCGAGATTAAATGGTCCAAAATCTTGGGGTTTGTGAACAGGTCCAAGTGGTTTATGCAGGACACGTGAGCCGACCAAGTCCCGGACCTTTTAGGGATGGGGTACGAGTCTACCCAGGCATTTAACCCCTCGGGTCTTGGTCGCCCACCCTGCATTTTATATATATATAAATATATCATTGGGGTACAAAAGTGAGTCCATCATCACAAGATATTTGACCGTTCGAACGCTGACAGTCACCCGTTCAATTTTGATTTTCATGCACAACAACGGTCTCAGCCTGTTAGATATGTATGTATCTATTCTCAAAGACTAGTAGAGAGTGATCGTCCACGTAAAAAAAAAAAACATTTTTAATTTGGGCGAATTAGTTTATATTTAAAGTACAAACGTTTGTAATTATTTAACATACACAAGAAAAATAGGCTCGATCCAAGGATAGAGCGTAGAGGAACTCTAGCAACAATATCTCTCTGTTCGTAAAGGGATGGTCAAAAGAAAACTCAGAACTGTCTGGAAAAAAGATACGACTATTTTATTATGTAGGGAAGGAAATTTTGCACTATTGAGAAATCAAAGTCAGTTCCTTTATTCGCAATTTCAGCATCTATTCGAACGATGTCGCACCGCAAGTAGAATAAATTGGCCCTTAGATGACAATTTGTAATTGCCCACTCTCAGGTATATACGTGGAACTTTGTGCCCAGCAGGCCTGAACAAAGCGATAGCGTCGGCGTAAAAACTAAACATTTTGACGTTCTTTTAGCGAGGTATTTTTTTAAAACATACAAAGAAAACAGAGTCGGTACAAGCATAAACATTGAGGAACTCCAGGAACATGCTCGGAAAGGGCTGGAAAAGAAAAGAGATGGCTATTTTTATTTGGTTTGGAAGAGAGTTAATCCCATCATTCTACTGACTATTCCATTGTGGTAAATAATCTAAAAGGCCTTTTTTATATCAATTAAACCATGTCAGTATGCTCCCTTACATGAGAGGCTAGCATTAAATTATCTACTATCTAGTTGGGCAGGGGTTTCATGTTCATGTTTCCAGATCTAGGGAAAATATTTTTGTTCAAAATTTTATTCGTACGTATGTATATTAATTAGTTGTGTTTTTCAGGAGCGGATAACAGATGTTACCTGGAAAATGGTGGTTCCGTGGAGAACTTTTTCGCGAGCGAGGACCTTCCGCTGGGCTCGTTGATAGGCACACTCAAAGTTCACGGGGAGGTAGGACCTCGTGGAAACATTGAACTCCGACTCGAAGAGCTCGACAGTCCCGTGCTTATCGAACCGGGGACGAAAAACTTGACACTAGTCAAAAAACTGGACAAGGAGGTTTGACGCTTTTTTAAAAATTTGCTTTGACGTTTTTTTAATGTTAATTTCCTTACAGGGTGAAGTCGGGATATCTTCGGTTTACATTCACATACTTTGCACGCCGAAAGGATCGACAGACCCGGTAAGCCTAGGTGGTTTAAACATCATAAATTATTATGATTATTTTTTCGGGGGAAATTTTCAGATCAAAATTCCAGTCAACATTCGTGTAATGGATGTGAACGACAACGCACCGCAGTTCGAAAACGGGCCGTACATCCTCAACATATCAGAGGTAGAAAAAAATCTCCTTTTATGAATTTTTTCAAAATATTATTTGATGTCTTTTCTCTAGGTGACAGTCGTCGGGACGAGAGTCCTTCAAGGTGTAAGGGCGAGGGACAAGGACCAGCAAGGGCCCTTCTCGACCGTGCAGTACACCGTCCTTCCTGGGCCGAATTCCGTAAGAACTTTTCTCATTTTTAATCATTTCTTTTTCACTGATATTTCATTATTCCAGGACCATTTTGTATTTGTAAACGGCCTCGAAGGGACTTTAGTACTGAGAAAACCTTTAGATTTCGAATCGTTGCCAAATTTCACACTGACCATAAGAGCACAGGTGAGATTTTCAAAGATATTTCATTTTTATCAACAGTATTGAAAAGTCGGTTTATTTTTTGCATTGCTAAATATTATAAAATGTATATCTTGAATTTATCTATTCTTTTTATCTAAGGTCTTGGTTGATATGAAAAAGTAATATCACGAGCGGGATTCGAACCCACGACCTTCGGCTCAATACGCCGCTGATACGCCACGATAACTCAAGTGGTTAAAGAAGCGGCGTATTGAGCCGAACGTCGTGGGTTCGAATCCCGCTCGTGATAACTTTTTCATCTCAACCAAAACCTTACATAAAAAGAATAATTAATTGAAATAATTAATATGGACAATTATGACCGCTAAACTGGATTAACTTGAATTTAATCTTGTCTCAGGATCAAGGAAACCCGCCGCAATACACTGACACCCTGCTTTACGTGAATGTCATCGACGCAGATGATCAAAACCCAAAGTTTGTACACGAGAGATACTCCACCATCCTGCCAGACCACGCTTCTGAAGTTGGTTTTTTATGACCTTTCTTTTTTTCTTTAAATTAATTTTTTTGCCACATAGGGTACGAGACTGTCAATAAAACCCACTGAAATCGCCGCCTTCGATCAAGACTTGGGAATCAAGTCGCCATTATTTTATTCTTTCAATACAGGTCAGTTTCAAAATTGCCATTTGTATATTTTAACTTTCAATAACTATCTATTCAATTGTCTCTATCTAGGATTGACAGAGTATAAATATTTTGAAATTGACCGAGCGACTGGTCACTTTACCATCAAAAAGAGAATACCCGAAGATGAAATCCTCCAGCCAGTGACGCTCATACTAAGGGTAAAACTTCCGACATTCTTATACATTGAAACAAATTAATATTTTTTCTTGAAAACAGGCGACTCAGAGCGACAATAGGGACAGATACGCACTGACGACGTTGACCGTCAGTAGACCTGGTACTTCCCTTAAAGAGCTGCAATTTCTCCAAAGTCACTACATCGCTGGAGTGCTGGAAAACGTCCCGCTCAACAGCGTCCTGCTCACCGTCATAACAAACCGACACAGAGATAAGGTAAGCCAAGATTATTTTTAAATAAAAAAATCAAATATTTATCGTGTCGTTTTTCAGCGGCTGAGGTACACTCTAGACGCCCACGAAGACATGTTCAACGTCCTCCAGAACGGCGATATCGTACTCAAGCAACATTTGGATTATGAAACCAAAGACACGTACATCTTTCAGGTCATCGCTACCGACAGCATCATGGTATTGATTTATTACACAACCTTAATCTAAAGAGATCTAGATTTTTAACTTTTTCCTACTTAAGAAGGCATATGTTTGTCAAGTTTATTCCGTATTGCAAGGTGCGATCATACTTAGATGTTTCGATTTAGAAAAATATAACGGCTTATAACAATCACATGATCGTGTTTTTGCTTTTTATCGTGCTTAACTTTTCTTAACGTGTGAATATTAAAATAACTGACCTTAGAAAAAATATTCAAAGCTCGAAAGTTGGTTTTACCATGATTACAAAGAAAATGGTTTCGCCTTTTCCCAAAGTAAATTTATTTCGACTATACTTTCGGATCGATTATTCTGGAATTCTCCCTTTTGCACCTAGATTTTCGTCCATTGTATCCCATATCTGCTAATGGTTTTATTGCAAGACTTCAGTTTTACTAATAAAAGACAGAATTTATCTCAAAGGTGGAGGTATTTATTGCTCATGTACCATTCCTTTTTCTTAGCTATTGCATGTCAGTTGGCAGAATTAACTACGAGCTAAATTCTTGTTCCACTCAACCCTGCAGGTCGTTTTTTACATCGAATAAGTCAATAGAAATGTTCGATTTTATGCGTTTTTCTCAAAAACCTCCTGCTTCACGAGCTTAATTCTTGTTCCAATCGACCAAGCAGGTCGTTTTACATAGAAAAAAGGCATTTTTATCGATTTTTTCGGTTTTTTGCGTTTTTCTCAAAAACTTCGTGGTTGACGAGCTTACTCCTTGTTCCTATTGATCCAGCAGGTTGTTTTACATCAAAAATACAATTTTTTTTTTTAATTCAATTTTTTTCGTTTTTTACGTTTGTCACAAAAATACGTGGTTTAAGAGCTTAATTCTTGTTCCAATCGACCCAGCAGGTCGTTTTACATCAAAAATACATTTTTTTTTAAACACGAGGGCACTCTCAACACGACTCGCAAGAATGGCACAATTACACAGAAGACAAACACTTTGAGCCCTGAAGATGATCTCAATGAAGATCGAAACGTTGGCACGATACAGAAAATGTTTTTCTGAAAACTACATCACACCAGACCGCATCTCACGATTTCTGATATATATTTTTTTTTTTATTCAATTTTTTCGGTTTTATTGCGTTTTTTACAAAACTACATGGTTTAAGAGCTTAATTCTTGTTCCAATCGACGCAACAGGTCGTTTTACATCTAAAAAAAAATTCAAAAAAATTCAATTTTTCGGAGTTTTTTCTTTGTTAACAAAACTACATGATTTAAGAGCTTAATGCATGTTCCAATCGACGCAACATGGCGTTTTACATTTTAAAAAAATTTCAAAAAATTCAATTTTTTCGGTTTTTTGCGTTTTTAACAAAACTACGTGTTTTAAGAGCTTAATGCATGTTCCAATAGACCCAGCAGGTCGTTTTATAATAAGTCAATAAAAAAATGACTTTACGTCGTCGTTTTACATCGAAAAATATAATAATTTATTTTATTTTTTTCTGTTTTTCTTGCTTTTTACACAAAGCCTACGTGATTTAAGAGCTTAATTCTTGTTTCAATCGTCCCAGCATGTCGCTCTACATCAAAAATACAATTTTTTTTAAATTCAATTCTTTCGGTTTTATTCCGTTTTTCCCAAAACTACATGGTTTAAGAGCTTAATTCTTGTTCCAATCAACGAGCAGGCGTTTTATAATAAATCAATAAAAAATCGCTTTTTCTCAAAGAGTAGATGGTTTAAGAGCTTAATTATTTTCCCATCAACCAGCAAGTCTTTTTACATTGAAAAATATAATAATTTTTTTTTCAATTGTTTCGGTTTTCTTCCGTTTTTCACAAAAACTACGTGACTTAAGAGCTTAATTCTTGTTCCAATCAACCAGCAGGCGTTTTATAATGAGTCAATAAAAAATCGCTTTTTTTCAAAAACTAGGTGGTTTAGCATGTTGTTGTCTACTGGCAGACAACAGAAACAGTAAATACAAATCTTTGGTATTTATTTGATACTTTTTCCATTGTACGTTGAATTCACAATTCCACAATCACTGGGGTAGTTTTATATATGTTGTAAGAGGCATGCTAACATTTTTAACCAAATTTTTAACTTTATTTTGTCACGATCTTTATAAACAATTTCCTGTGAATATTTTGACCTGCCTATCCTCAATGATGTCGGTATTTCCCCATGTTAAGAGAGTAAAAGGTAGATCAGGACGATCTGAAAAGACCAAACGTACATCACCAAGAACAAATCTGACAATTTGAATTTGTTTTGTTTCAGAACGCAACGGCTTCTGTCAACATCACAGTGCTGAATGTCAACGATTGGGACCCACGGTTCCGTTTTCCCCAGTACGAATTTTTCGTACCAGAACTCGGCGAGTTAAACGACGAGAGCGTCGCTGTCGGAATGGTCGAAGCCGCAGACGGTGACAGAGGCGACAAGATTACCCTAAGCTTACAAGGCCCCGCGGCAAAGTAATTAATTTTGAAATCTGAATTTTTATTAGTGTTCTGACTGGTTTTTCCCCGCAGAATGTTTACCATCGGGGAAGACGGCGTGATCAGAACGGCGTCCCTGTCTGCGCTCAACAGCAGCACTGTTCACTTGGTGGCTGTAGCAACGGACACCGGAATTCCACCTCGACAGGTATGTTAGTCAGTCAAACGTGAATTTTGAGCCCCTGGTGTTAATAATAAATGACTTTTTCTTTTCATTGTTCGAATAAATATAAAAAAATTCCATTTTTAACAATTCTTCAATGTCTTCAGCGTTTAACCAAGGCCTAAGAACTCAGAGAAGAAATTGTTGAGATCGCTTGGTTGCTGGCGTTGAAATATCGAATTACTCAGATTTAAATATTTTATGAAGTTTATCCAGCCAAAAATGTCAATATATACAAATGCACATATAATTACATAATATGGGATATATAAAGGTTGGTTCCAAATAGACAGTGCCTGGCAGGCGGACATCTTGGAATTTAATTAATTTTTAGATTATTGTTTTACCAAAGAGTTTACTTTGTATTACTTTCATTACTTTTTAATGGAATATCAAAATTTAATTACGTTTTCAATCCATTTGTGATCGAAAAATCAATTTTTTAGCAATTAAAACTTAATTTTACACTGGTGGCTGACCTTTGAGAAATTAAGTACGTTTATTTAAACGGGGAACTTTTCTATAAGCACCAATACCTGTCGGTATTCAAAAAAACCAAGAAAATCTCGCGAAAACTTTATACAAGAAGAGAAAATTCGTCAAAGTTTAACTTCAATTTATTTTGCATTTTGTTTAATTTGTTTTGATATTCTGCCATGACCCACCCACACATGCTCAAAACTCACGCTAATAAATACACTCATTGAAGACACAAAACGCCCACGAAAAATCCTAAACTAGTTTGGTGGTCTATGGGGTACTCTATATTCCGTTACAACCCATCCACACATACTAACCCCATGCGTGCCCAAGCGTCAGACGGGTGTGGCCTATTCTCTGTTTTTTATCCATCCTCTCCATAGCACACGGTTTGACCGACAGTTTCTCTTCTTTTAATTTGTCGGTCATTGTAGATTAGCCTTTCTGCCAATTTTCCCAGAATAAATTTTTGACATTTTTTGGCATCAGGCATCACAGGAGTCTCAATTATTGTTGTTAACAGCCATAATATTATTATTATCATTATCGTAACTGGACTTTGAGAAATTAATTACGTTTGTTTAATCGGGAATCTTTTCTATAAGCACCAATCCGTATTTAAACAACCAAGAAAATAATTATTCAAAAAAACATGGGCACTCTCAACACGTCACACAACCGTGACACATCTACACAGAAATCAGACTTTGAGCCCTGAAGATGATCTCAATAAAGATCAAAACGTTGGCACGATAAAGAAAATGTTTTTCTGAAACCTACATCACACCAGACCGCATCTCACGATTTCTGAATAATTATCGATTAACGGTCACTAACCACCACACATTTCTAACCAAGAAAATCTTGCATAAATTTTAGACAAGAATTTTAGAAACTTGTCAAAGTTTATCTTCTAACTTATTTTTCATTTTGTTTGCTTAAGGTTACAATAATTAAAAAAAAGCCGTCTGTTCACCTGACACCCTATATAATTGTAAAAATGCCCGCCCAAACGGATCGCCAGTAATAAAAATTGCCGTCAGGGTAAATTTTAGTCGTTACTTTAATTATCCTGGTAATATGTAATTTCAGTGGTCGTGGGGTAAAGAAGAACAAACCAAATAAAACCTTGATTTACAACTTTGTCTCAACTTGTTCATTTCAACTGCTAATGCAGTAGCTTGTATGGCTAGGCAGTATATAGCGACGGTCCCAACTCTGACCCTTGACGTACACCAGTTTTGCTTTTTTTGAAGTTGGCATATTTTTACTCAAAAAGTATTATTTTTAGACAACTAAAATAACTAAATCTACAGCATGTTTGAGGCATTGTTCTTATTTAATCCAAAACGTGCATACTTGAGATCGTATTTTAAATCAATCCATTATTAGTAAATCCACAAACTGTTCTTTTATATTATTGGGTATATGTATTTATAAAATACTTTTTATCAAATCTTAGGACCAAAGGGAGCTTTATGAAAATCGAATACCCTGTGTGTAATGTCTTATATATTATATTTGTCTGAATAAACTCCATAAAATATTGAAACCTGAAGAAAAAGAAGAAATTATTTTTAAGTGTGATTGATCTTTACTGAATCCTTTTATGAATTCCTTTTATGAATCCCAAATCTTTTATGCCCTTTTTATTTTGTTTCTGTTAAGTTTAGAGGCCAAAATCCTAAATTTATATAACTCAACTTAAAACGAAACTATTTGAGACTTGATACACTTTTTCATTGCAAAATTTCTTAGCAATGCAGTGATAAATTAAATAGTCCTACTGAAGAACAATTTTCGAAAGCTTATTAAAGGAACTAATTTCTTTTTTAATTGCTTTCTTCCCTGATCGTTTTAATACATTATTAATTAATGTATGATAAATAAAATGGCTATGAGTGCACCCAAAATTCTTATTTCATAATTCCTTTACAAAGTTTTAATGGGCAAAACATATTATTATTAATTATTTTTAAGGCGTCTGTTCCGGTTATAATACATTTGCCAGAAGCCGTCGTTTGGAGAAGTGGAATCGGGAGCAATTTGTTGATGTTTGGAGTTTTTGGTGCGATTCTTGGCCTTTTGGCCCTTATCATCTTGATACTGATCGTATACATTCACAAACAGTAAGTTGACTCATTTACTTCTAGAATCGCTCATAAAATTAAACTGTATACGCTAATGAAGTAATATTGAATTTTTTAGCCGACAGCCAAAGTCCAAAAACCAGCTATCAATGAATTCGCAAGCACTGACCAACATAGAATCCGAAAAATTGCCTCCGATGGTGAACAATGATAACATAACACTCGGAATCGGCATCCACTCTGAAAATAACAACCTCAACGGTAGCAGCATGAACATGAGAGACAACAACCTATCTCTGAGAAACGAGAACATGACATTCGGAAACAATGTTACATCGCGTGACAGTAACAAAACTGTAAAAATTGAAAACCCAATGTTCACCGCAAACATAACGTCGAACGGAGGATCCCCATACACAGCGACAGTGAAAAGTAATTTTCTCTATCAATTTTTTTCTTTTCTCATGTTTTTCAACAAAAAAAAATGTAACCGTTCACTTTTTACAAGGTATAATGTCAAGGAGTACGAACAGCCGTCAGAGCCAACCCCCAGGAGGAATAAAAAAAGCCGTGGCTCCTTCACCTCCGCAGATCCCCAGCCAGAAGATATCTTCAGGATCGGCCATTCACACGAACAGGATATGGCAGGCCGGGTCAATTCCAAGGACAATTAAAAAACTCAGTTGGGACGATGAAAGTGAAACACAGCAAAGTGTTAATAAAGTAAGTTAATTTACCTTTGAATGAGCATATCCTTTAGGAGTTCCACAGGGCTCTGTAATTAAGCCCACACTTTTATCAAATCTTCACCCAATGTTTTTAAATGCAGTATTCTATATCTTTAAATGTCTCTGTTGGTTTTACATAAATATTTCCCTTTCATGTTAATTAATTTTGAAAAACTGCCTTAGTTAAGTAGTCATACTGTATACATAGAACATATTTTATATACCAGGTTAGGATAGGGGTACTAGATTAAAAAGAGCAATTCAAGCTTTGGGAGGAACTTCAGGCAGACAAAGTTCTGTGGATGCCTGTTGATACCACGACCCCAGAATTCAGATTTAAATACAGCCTGGGAGAAAGAGGTCCCAGATAATGTCAACCATATCTAGTATGCAGATGGGTCTAATACTGGATTGGTACCTATGGAAATAAACTAAGGACATAATACACATACATGTAAGCCTTCGGCAACATGACTGTCTTTCAGGCTGATACTGTGTCTACTGAAAGTTCCAGAGGTAGATCAAAAGGCTGAGTATTACAAATAAAATAATAGCCATCTACCCGGTCAGCCAGGCAGCACTATAGGTAACTACCTCATCAGTAGCAAAGACTAGTTTGGGATGGCATGAAGGCCCTGTGAGAAAACAAAATTATCCTTTTTTGAGTGCCAGGGCTTGCCTGGAAAAGGGTCAATGAAGAAGATGATAAATTGATAAAGTTTGATGAGGACACCTCCTGGAACCTCTTTGGCATACCAAATTGTTAAACAAATAGGTCAAAAAGGTAAGATTAACTACTGAGTTCAATTGGCATGTAATCCAGGACAATGGCATACAAAAAAATCAATAAAGGACTATTGCAGAACATAACTGCAGAACAATTAATAAACCAGGATGTTTTTGGACAGGAATGATAGTAGAACTGCTGACTCTGAAGGCTTATGTTTAGACAAAAGAAACAGTGGATACCCTCTGTTGGTGAAAGTCTAAAGTGCAGGCTGAGATTCCTACTCCTGGAAAAGAAAATGCTAAGGCATGAAGAGTGCACACGAGAGCTCCTAACATAGCTTTGGGATGTGATAAAAAGCCTTAACCATAATGAAAAGTTCACTAATTTCGTGGCCCGCTTGACCAATTAATACATTACAATTAACTAAGGTTTTTAGTTGAGATGAAAAAAGGTAATGGCACGAGCGGGATTCGAACCCATGATCTTCAGCTAGATACGCCGCTGCTCTACCAATTGAGCTATCGTGACCTCCTAGCCGAAGATCGTGGGTTCGAATCCCGCTCATGCCATTAACTTTTTTTCATCTCAACTAAAAACCTTAATTAATCTTAATGAAAAGCTTTAGATAATAATGGAGATTGGAAAATAGACCAATATTGGTTGCAGTGAACAACATAAATAAGCCAACTCCTTTTAATTTTTGCGATAATTTTGCAATATTTTTTGTGCAGAAATTGCAAAGAATAAAACAAACACTCCACACTAGTCAAAACTTATGCCATAAACCTTCAAAAAAATTAACTATTACTTAATGTATGACTTAGCTTTTACTTATAAACACCTATTTTTTATTTATCTAATTTATTTCATTTAATTGCAGACAGAAATTGATCCAGATGTGAGTGTGACTCCAATAAACGATATGAAATCAACAGAAAACATGAACTTGACTGTGTATTTCTAACAATTACGTTTACATACAAAATGCCATTGACTGTGATTTAATGTTAATGTTATTAGACTCTGAGAAAAATGTTTAATTATCAGAGTAATATTTGGCAAATGAAATATATTTGTACATTACAAATTAATACGAGTTTGTTAATCTTGTCTTTTTTTAACCTGTAAATCAATTTGTTTGTTAAACCATGATTAATAGTTGTTCCTAGGTAAAAAGTAAAAACATGTAATATATAAAGTTATTTTAATTATTATAACAACGAATCAAACTCAATTTTAATTTGATGGAAATATAATATATTTGTGTATATATTGTGTAAATATTAACAAGTTTAACAACAAAAGGTTTTATTAATGAAAAAAAAAATAAAGGATTAGATTATTTGGTTACTGATGTTATGTAAAATTATATCGTCCAGTTTTAAACATTTTAAAATTGTACAAATGAACTTTCAAATGATATTGTCTATCATAGACAACAAAATGCACACAAAAATGTACATATGAATATAAAAAATAAGCCAACTTGTAAAAACAATGAAAAATAAATTTTTTTTTAAAAATATGTGTATTTATGGATAGTATCCTTAAAAACAATAATGAAATGTATTGTTTAGACAACATTACGGATGTTAATAACTGAAAAACCTGCATCATCATTACAAGGTTGGTGTTTATTGGTTATATTAAAATTATTTAAAATCGGATTACTTATAATAAAATGGTTTTAATTGTAGAGAATTAAATTTAAATTTTTACACAAGGAACGTGGATTCTTTTAAACAGTATCATGATAAGAACATCCATTATTTTTATTATAATAGAGAATTATTAAAATTGATAATGGGTAAGTGAATATAAATTCACTCAAAAAATCAATTTGATTTTGAGGTTTATAAGATTGATATTTAATGATCGCTTAATTATGAGAATTTTGGTTTAAATTTTTTGATGCTATGATCAAACTAGTGTTAGACAGAATAAAATATTTTTGTGATGTTGGTGTTTGCGTTAAAAAATAATAATAGTTCCTATGAGAAAAAATATAAATTATTCGAAGTATAGCAAAATTGGTGATGGCTGATGTTCAAAGATTTGGCCTTTTCCTGCATTAAATTGTTTATGCTTTTACAAACAATTCCAGTAGGGATATTCAGATTTTACGTGTGTAAAACAACCGTGTTAACACGAGAGATAATAATTTCAGTCATAAAAAATGTAAATTACTTTAAATATTGCAAAATTGTTGTTGGCGTATTCTAGAAAATTCTGTGTTTCGTTCATTATTCTGCTTTATTTATTCAGATATCGTGAGATGCAGTCGGTCTCACGATATCTGAATAACTATCGATTAACGGTCACTAATCTCTACACAATTCTGCTTTATGGTTTTGTAAATAATTCAGTAGTGATAGCTTGTCCATACCTAAACCAATCATGTTAACACAGATAATAATTGCAATGATTAAAAATGAAAATTATTCCAAATATTGTGAAATTGGTGAAGATCGATTGTCAAAGATTCACACTTTTCCTGCATTAAACTGACATATGGGTTTTTCAAACGATTCAAGTGGTATTATTCAGCTTACACGTGCGCAAAACAACCATGTGAACAGCACAGATAATAATTTCAGTTATAAAAAATTGAAATTATTCCCTATATTGCCAAATTCGCAATGGCAGCTTTTTCCTGAATTAAACTGTTTATGCTCTGACAAACAATTCTAATAGTGATATTCAGGTTTTACATGCCCAAAACAACCATGTGAACAGCAGAGTTAATTTTAGTGATAAAATATTTAAATTATTTTTAACTTTCCCTGCATCAAAATACTTTCTGGTATTACAAACAATTCAAACAGTGAGGTTCAGCATTTACATGCACAAAATAGCTGTGTGAACACCATAGATAATAATTTCAATAAAAAAAGGTAATTCTCTCATATACTGTAAAATAGTTGTTGGCGGATAGTCAAAGATTCAAGTGTTTTGTTGTGCCCCAGTTTAAATTAATGATACATTCCTACAAAACCAGTTAGTTTTCTTGTACAAAGGTGTTTAAAACCATTTTTCTGTATATTAAATACTTGTAATTTTTCTAAAAGTTATGAAAACATTCCAATCCTATTTCAGAATGGCATTAAATTATGAAACAATATGGTGTTTACAGTATGCGTGTTAAAATTGAGCATACATTTATATAAAAACTACTACTTTCCTTGAAAAAATACCAAAGGTATATTCAACATCTAGATGTTGAGCAAAAATTCTAATCGAACTTCCTATTGACTTTAAATTGTGAAACAATACACTTTTTTATAGAATGCATTTACATTTTTACAAAACCTGCTACTTTACATTTATAAACATTTTTAGGGCAGGTTGAACAGTTATAGGTTTTCTAGAGGATGAGAAAAAAAATCTATTTTCCAATCCTACTTCACATTGGCATTAAATTGTGAAAATACGGTTTTTTATAGTATGCACATATAAATTAAGCATACATTTTTATAAAACCTGCTACTTTTGTTTTACAATGATTTTTCAGGCATATTGAACAATTATAGGTATTCTAGAAGGTCAGGAAAAAATCTTTTTCAGTCTTATTTCACATTGGCATTAAATTGTGAAACAATATGGTTTTTTATAGTATGCACATATAAATTAAGCATACATTTTTACAACCTGCTACTTTACATTTATAAACATTTTAAGGTAGGTTGAACAGTTATAAATTTTCTAAAAGATAAGAAAAAGAATCTATTTTCCAATCCTTGTCCACATTGGCATTAAATTATGAAACAATATAGTTTGTACATATAAATTAACCATACATTTTTATAAAACCTGTTACTTTAATTTTACAAAGATTTTTGGGGCATATTGAACAATTACAGGTATTCTAGAAGATCAGAAAAAAATCTATTTTCCAGTCTAGTTCACATTGGCATTCAATTGTGAAACAATACGGTTTTTATAGTATGTACATATAAATTAAGCATACATTTTTACAAAACCTGATACTTTAATTTTACAAACATTTTTGGGGAATATTGAACAGTTATAAATTTTCTAGAAGATGAGAAAAAGAATCTATTTTCCAATCCTAGTTCACATTGGGATTAAATCGTAAACAACACGGTTGTTGCAATTCAACGACCATTGTATAGAATGAGATTAAAAGTGAAACCAAAGCTCAAAGTGAGAGAGAGATGAGCATCACAAATTTCTGGTGCCAGCCCCCACCACAAAAGCCGTCAAGGTTCTTCTCAAAGCCTGCACTGGAGGCCGTTGCCGCACATCAACCGGCCAGTTTGCTTTGAGTTTACCTGACGAACTGTTCGACCATGGGTTTTTGTGAGTGCACAACGAAATTCTTGCTTTTCGTCTTCAACCTCGCTTGCGCCGTAAGTCTTCTTCTTTTATCATTCTTGTCCGTTTTTAACATACATTTGTGATCATCATAACTTTATTTAATTTAAAATTGATAATTCTCTAAATTGTGTCGACCTTGAATTAGTATTAAAACTCGTTTATTCACCTTAATTTTTTGTTGTGTGTGTGAATATAGTTGAATTTGATTTGTTAGATGATGTTTAGCAGCTACTTGTTTGTCGGTTGTGTTCAAATAGATTTATACAGCGCAAGAAGCCAACAGGTTGCTAATCATGTCTCAACTTGTGATAGATTTTCGTTGTTCTCCGTTAATGGTCAACTGCCCCACCTTTCTTCGTCGGACCGAGTCTTTCTTCTTTCCTCCTTCGTTCAGTCCTCGCCATGACCGGTGCATCCTTCGTCCTTTGTTCACGGCGGAGTCCTTGGGATTCCCAGTAAAATTCATAAAAACCTATATTATCTTATCTTTATAATATGGATATTCTTATTCTGTATATAAGTAGTTATTAAAATTGAAAATTACCCAATTTACTTTTGTTTTTCGTTTCTTTTTATAAGAAGACAATCAGGAAATGAAATCAAACCAGAAGACTATTAAGACGCACTTCCAATATATTAGATGTTACATACTTATATTACATCTACATATATTAGTTTGAAGCTTCATGTTATATGTATGAGAAAATAAGAATTAAATTTTTACAAGTCTTATCCAACTGAAAAGTACTGTAGAGTATTTCATGTCATTCAGGAGGTCTTATGTTCAACTACCCGTTGGTAGTCGAGATCGAAGCGTAGCACCACTTAGCAATACTTTATTGAAATTAATCTGAAATAAAATTCCGAGGCAATGCCAGGATTATATAACTATCAGTTTTTCTCATATACTCATTTTTACTCCTTTCTCTGTACCCTCTCTACACTTAATTCTACCTCAGTCACGCCCTCATTCACTTTCATCTCACCTCTCACTCTCTCTCACTCTTACCCTCATTCTCACTCTCACTCCCCTACTTACTCACTCACATCTGTCTCTCTCTCTTTCTCTTTTTCTCACTCACTCCCTCACTCATTCATATATTCACTCCCTCACTTACTCACTCTCTCCCTCCCTACTTACTCACTCACTCACTCACATCTTGCCTCTCTCTCTCTTTCTCTCTCTCACATTCACTCCCTCTCTCTTTCACTCACTCACACAATCACTCTCTGTCTCTCACTCTCACTCTCACTCTCTCTCTCTCTCTCTCTCTCTCTCTCTCTCTCTCTCTCTCTCTCTCTCTCTCTCTCTCTCTCTCATACATTCACTCCCTCATTTACTCACTCCCTCCATACTCTACTCACACACTCACATCTTGCCTCTCTCTCTCTCATTTCTCTTTTGCTCTCTCACATTCACTCCCTCTCTTTCATCTCTCCCTCTCTCTCTTTCACTCACTCACACACTCACTCTCTGTCTCTCTCACACACACTCTCTCTCTCTCACAAACATTTCTCTTTTTCTCTCTCACATTCACTCCCTCAATTTCATCTCACCTCTCTCTGTCACTCACCCGTACACTTTCTTCAAAGTTAACATATAAACTAAGTAAGTGAAAAGAGCTGGTAACTTGTAAATGTTTTGCCAAGGGCGGCCTAAGTTCACCGAGAGCTTAATAGTGAGGCCCTATAAGTTATATACAAGGGTGAGTTTCTACCGTTAATCATATATGCAGTACTGTTTAGAGGATCTGCGTTGGAGGTCAGCAAAAAATCTTATGAAAATAGAGAGAATCCAGAAACTATTCCTTCTCCGGCTTATTAAGGTTACAGAACCTTAGCAGAATCCTATGATGCCGCATATGTGATAGACATGAGACCTAGGTAGCTAGGTGCATGCACAAGACTGGATGTCGTTCGACATACTCAAACCAGGAAACGTGAGCTGGGTGGATAGCTCTGAGACGTATAGACCCGTTTCTTCACACCTTTGGCTACATCCAGGCATGATGCCCGCTGTGAAAGAGGACATCGACATGGAATACGATTATGCAGTATATACAGACGGAAGTAAGGAGGGGAGAAAGTGGGTTGTGCATTTGTTGTGAGGCAAAACAAGACGGTAATAGCCGAAAAGAAATTAGGTTGAAGGGCCATTACTAAAACAACCAGGCTGAGCAGTTGGCTATCTACATGGCTCTGACTTGAATCGCCAAAAATATGAGTGTTGATCAAAAATTTTAAATAACCTCAGATAGCCACATAACGTTAGCATCACTCGAAAACGCTGGTATACATCTTCCAATAATTGAAAAGATAAGTAGGAAGCGTATATTGCTCCTGCATCAATACTCTCCTTTCGTTGATAAAGGCTGGCAGATGCGCTGGCAAAAACTGCATCCAAAATCTATAGGGCAGACATAAGCTATCACCATTTACCTATGATACACCTACAAATGAGAATGCAGAAGCTTAGCATAGTAAAGTGGGATGAAAACTGGAAGAAGTTCTTAAAGGGGAGATTAACAAAAGAATTATGCCCTATTATAGTTGACTGCCTTAGTTTGGACCACTTGAAGTGCTTAAAACACAAATCCTAACACACAGGACACGCCAAAATGCCTATTTGTATAAGCGTAAAATATCGTCAAGCCCGGCATGTTTCTGTGTTCAGAGTTCAGATTAGACGGTCTATCATATCGCCTGCTGGTATTCGAATATGGCACCATACTACCCGCGAGAAAACGCAATGAAACATATTATGACTACCGGTCAACTACTGGTACACTGACGGCTCCAAAACCGACAAGGATAATACCCATAATGGGGCTGGAGTCTTCGGGATAATAAAAAATGGAAATAAAAAGGCTAGGAATACATTACCGGAAGATAGCCATCTTCTCTGGCAGTCAGGCAGCACTAAAAGCCTCATCTGAGGTGAAAGAAAGAGGTTTGGTTGGAACTGCACGGAGGCCTGGCAGAAGTCATCGACACTGATGACAAGACCCTGGCATGAGTCCATGGGCATTCGGGGCATAGAGGTAACGAAATGGTTGACATCTTGACTAAAGAAGGAGCCAACATAGACTCTCTAGGTCTTGAAACCTACTGTGGCTTAGCATCTTTTCACAGAAGAGGATACATCTTAAAATGGATCCTTAATGAGTTCAAATCTTGGCGGGACAATACCACAGTATGAAGCACGCCATGAGATTCATCCGGACCATCCGCAAAACTTACAAAAGAATTACTGGAAGGCACCCGCAACCGAACCAGGATTCTAGTCTCCTGATTGGACATTCCACTTAAGAAAGCACATGCACCGGATAGAAGTACAGACAGAAGAAACACTGCCAAGTAGAGGAGGAGATCGCAGAACACATTTTATGTTTCTGTGAAGGTCTACGTAGGTGCAAATACTTGCAACTAGATTAGGAAAAGCCCAAGCAAGATCCTACACTAAGGAGCCGCTGGCAAGGCTATGACGGTTGATTAATAACCAGAAGCGGTCCAGTGAGCTGTAAAAATCGGGGGAGCACAACAGTTCTACTCGGTCATGGTGCAGAAGGCCTTGCGGCAACCTCTTTTATCCTTAACCCAGGTACCCGGTGGCTAAATTGCCAACAGTTCAAAAAATTCATACCGGAAGTATTTAAATTTTTAGGTAACTAGTCCTGATTTTTGAAAAAAGTAAATATTTTATATCTGTTCATAAATGAGACATGTAATTTTATGTAGTGCTGTGAGCGCAGCATGATGAAATAAACAAATTAACAAATTTCCTTATCACACCTTCTCTCTCCTGCTTCAATCTTTCTCTTTCTTTCTCTCTTCTTCCTCACTCTTCTCTTTTTCCTTTATTATTAGCATTCATTTACAAAAAATAATTTCTATTTGTCTTATATGTATTAACTGTTGGTTTGATTTTTTAAATAATCGTTTCTTTTTTGTTTAAATAAAAATTAAATTTAGGTTGTTTTTGTTTTTCTCTTCTAATGTGTTAATTTATTTATATGCAGAATCACAACTACATGTATCATTAGCATATATTATTAAAACCTATAACAGCTAACATTTAATGTTAACAACTAAGTTTATGCTGCTAGGTTTATTTTCACAATTGAAATATTGCACATTGGTATGTAACTGTGTGTAAGGGGTGTTGGTGATTTGTGCAATCGTATGACTTTCTCTGATTGAACGTGTTTTGAACTTTTATCACGTTAAGTCCTCCCTGCTGTAGTTTACGTCTTTTTAAGTCACGGTGTAACTTCAACTTTTATATTATTCCATTATATTAGGTGGTTCATTGATCAAATTACGTAATTAATTAATCTTTTTACGTATGTATTTTATGTTTGTAAATCCCAGGCCCTGAAGATGATCTCAATAAAGGTCGAAACGTTGGCACGATAAAGAAAATTTTTTCTGAAACGTGCGTTACACCAGACCGCATCTCACGATTTCTGAATAATTTTTTTACGAAAGGTTTTGGACTGAAATGAAAAAGTTAGTGTCACGAGCGGGATTCGAACCGACGACCTTCTGCCTACACCTGACCTTTTGTATTATTTAAGCGAATGGGTTAGTTTTAGTGAACCTGAACAGGCAGTGTTTTTATTTTCACATGTAATCAGTCGGATAAAATTCACATACGTAATGAAACAATATTTACAAACGTTTTGAGTTTAACTCTGATGAACAAACAGCCAAAAGATCTACAATTACAAAAATCGATTTTCCAATTTGAAAGTAATGGTATATAATACTCGTGTAGATTTTTATTTTACCCAAAGTGTCGATATTAAACTTTTTTTATTGCTGGCAGTATCAGCAAGACCAAATTCCATAACGAATACCTACTTCGTAGAATGGGTCTGATAATTCGTCCTACCAATTATTACAGAACCAAAGGTCAAATCGTGGAATTACTGGCTGGTGGGGCTCGTCAGCGATGATCAATTGTACTAAAAAAAACCTATGATTTTTTTTAATGTATTCTCAACATGCAATCAATCAATATCACTAGAAT